TGTTCCTTCAAATGCAATTAAAGAAAAGATTTATGCATATGAACCAGGCAAAAGCAACAACATCCTGGGATTCAAAGTATGCTATTTCAACAAAAACAATGTCCTACTATCTAAATTACTAGCATTTCTACAGATAGCCAGAATTCTAAATTCACAAATTAAAATTACATACATCCTTTAGAGTCAATACAATAAAGAGAAACCTATTTTCTTTCACTGCAAACACCAGATAAAAGGACTTGTAATGAGGCACTAGAGGAACAGCACTTCCAAGCTGCAGACTGAAGTCAGTGTGAGTTTTGCCACTTTCTTTAAATGAGGAACGATTTGGGTCCATATGAACCTCAAAGGTATGACATATGTTCGAATTTAGGTACGGCAGTCATGTAACACTTCAACAGAAACACTGTGTGAAGCAAGAGCTTTTCTCTAAGTCTTTGGAGGACAGCTACTGCAACCTGCAGGAATATCGGCAGAAACTCTAGAACTTAGTAAAAAGGTTTGAGACAAAACAAGTCTACAAACCTTTTACATCAAACACCCAGTTTTGAAAATGCATTTTACCCTTTTAACGAGTTTGTATGTTTCTACACCACTTTTCATTATACTCTAAAGCTCTCCAAAACCACTGAACTTAAAGTAACAATCTGGGTAAGAAGGAATGTGCAAGTCAGTTCACAGAAAACCACAAATACATTTTGCTCAGATTCCAGAAGCATCAGGATTTTGTGCATGTAATCACATACTCAGAGGACATCTATGCATCATCAATTGCCTGTAAAACCAGTCACTGAAACTGCATCTGTGGACATCTCCCCACAATTTCTGTCTTTAATTACTTCCTATCAGACATCCTTCTAAGTATTGTCCTAAATTCCTCAGTATATTTTTACCCTAATCCATAGTCTTACCTCTCCAGTGATAGCTTAAGCAATATTATTATTTTGAATAAATAAATGGCAATGTCACTATGACCTTGGAAGCGACTTTGCATGCAAGATACTAATACTTATTATGTAGGTTCAAGACATAACTTAAGTACAAGAACATATACTTCCGTAAGTATAGCACTGAAACAGCTTGCTTTTTTTTTTTTGAGATTACTTTCCAACAGATGGCCAAGCTGGAGCTCAGCCTGGTGAAGTAGAGCAGTGCTTGGTACACCCAGTTTCAAGCACTAAACTACAATAACAAGATAGTTGTAAAGCCTTATAGTGGAGGCACTGTTGCCTGCTGTGACATCTTACCAGGGACTGAAGGCCATCAGCAGTCATCACAAAGAGACATTTATTTCACCTGGTTTGTGTTCCTGCTACCAGGGTGAGTAATCCAAAGTCACATTAGCTGAACCTTAAACCTGAAAATTCCATTTAAACATAATTTGTTTCCAGCCTTCACTTAAATATGGTCAAGGGACACGGTGAAAACTATAAATTCCCTGCTAAGTAGAAAAAAAGAAGTTTTGGAAGCATTTGTGACTCTAGAGGGAGTAATGTTCCTTAAAAAAAATAAAAAATAGATTTCCTCCTTTACAACAGCTTAAAAGTAAAAAAAAAAAAAAAAAAATTAATATGCAATTCCATTGTTAGGGAACTGGAGTTTTGCTTTACCTGACATTTTCCCATTCAGTATAAAGTCTACTTTATAGGAGGATGCCTTGCAAGACTTTGCTGGCTAGCTGCTTCACCACACCAGCACCTAAACAACAGGTCCAGAACACTAAAACCACACATTAGCAAGTTAGCACTTCAGTGCTGCCAACACCACTGATCTGCCACCAAACGCAAACAAACCCACAGCTTCACCACAGACCGTAAGTCAATTAATAATGAGCAATGCACTCAAGAGCACTGTGGTACACATTTCACTGACACCACCACACATTTGTAAAGATTATCTAAATCAAGCTCTGTTATCTGGGGCACCTATGCAATTTGGACAATCTCTAGGCAATCATGCCAGTCAGCACACTGAACTCATGTAATTCTGTTCTGCAGCAGCAGAAACACAAAAGCCAAACAAGTATAACAAAAAAAAAAAAAACAACCAAAAAAAAAAAAAAAAGAGAGAAAAAAAAAGGTGGTGGAGGAGCCTAGGCATGAAGCCAAGGTGAAGCTGCAAGGGTGGAGAGAGCTGTGGGAAGGAAATTCACCCACCAGAGCTACAGAGCACCTTCAGCTCAAGAGCACCCAGGAGGCAGAGATGGGACCTGCGAAGTTCCCTGCATGCCTTTAGGAAGAGCAGGTAACAAGTGCAGTCTTCTCAGTTCCGTAAGATGTCAGCAAGGTCTTTTTCAGGCTTCTAAAATTCATTTATTCCAAGAGTTGCAACACCTTCACAGGATAACTGCTAGAGAATCTGGGTCCATGAGATACTTCAGGAAGAGACTGAGTGAAGCATAAGGAGATCATACCTCTCTACGGCTTAAATTGTACAACCTCAACTGCAGAACTTCTCCCTTACCTGTCAACCTCCTGTCTGGATTCCCTTCTCCTCACTTCTTTTTTCCATTCATTTCCAACACCCTAGCTCCATATCATTTTCTCCTCCCAATTATATATATATATATATATATACACACACAACATAATTAAGACTTGTAACCTGGCTCAGGACAGACCTGAGAGACTGGAAGATTCTCTCTGTATTTCAAACATAGAAAAAAGGTTTAGGTAAGAGGTGCCCCCCAACTTTCTTCCCCCCCCCCCCCCCGATGTTGTCCACTGTTCTAATAGAAGGTGTTACCTTTCCCTACAGCACCTCACTAATATTTTATATTACCATGGCTACCACAACACTGCTATTAACGCAACCCATGACATTTTCCCAATTCTCATATTACCAATGGTGAGCCTCAGTGCATTCCAAATTTCAGTGCCTTTCACATACATTAAGCTGAACATGCTCCAGTGACTCCGAATTTCCTCCTGTACAGGAAAATCAGCTTGGTATGGTCAATAATTTTTGAAGTGTATCATAAAGTTTATCTGATGTCCAAATGTAATTCTCTTGCTGGCTGCCTCATCCTAAATCCCTTTCAGGTTGAAACTACTTGACATTTTTTAAACAAAATGCCTTTTAAGTCCTAATTTGTACTCCACTGGGTTTTGATAAGGCATGACATTATGGTATGATGAGTTAGTTGATTGTAAGTAAATTTGATTTATCCCACTTTTTGGTCTGGTATGATTTACAAGGATGTCACCTTTTAAGATGGGATTGATTTTAATGTAAGCTGACAGCTTTTTTTTTTTTTTGTGAAACACTACATCAGAACAAGGTAACTATGAAGACAAAACAAAGGGAAAATGAAGCAAAATTTAAATACCAGAAATTAATATTTGTGAATAATTGGCACCTTCCTATCTCCATCAAGAAAGACTGAGTGACAAATCAGTTTCCAGAACATTTCCACTAATCGTTTGAAAGTTTGATTTTTATTCATAAGATCAGATGCATGCTACAGCTGCTGTAATGTAATCTATTTTGTGAACACCATGGAAAGTTCTTGAAATATTTTCCATCAAACAAGCACTAGCACAAACACGAATCTTCATGTACCAAAGTAAAAGCATATGTACCCTTCATAAAACTGAAAGATATCCTAAGACCCTTTCCTATCTGGTTGTTCAGTTGCTATTATATGGAATACTACCCTCATTTCTTTGCAATATCCTTGTACCTTACGATGCAGCGTTTTAAACGCGCAAGTTTGTGATGCTGCAGCTATACCTCTCTTTGCTAAGCAGTTACTTCTCATTTTTAAAGCATGGATCTCTTATGTAATTTTGACAGATAGGTGGGAAAGGGACCAGAGAGGTTTGGTAGTTCGAATGAAGCAAAGATCTATATCCAAGACTGACTGACTACCTAGAGGAATCCACACTCGCCCAAACGAGTTGTAGGCAGTTAGTAAACAATTTAGTAGGTAGTGTGTACGTGATGGAGAGGAGCTGGATGTGTAAAGGTGAGAAATCAATGCTTTAGAGTTTTATTTCTACTTAAAATTAGCTAAATCCTCGCAGACTGGGTATAAGTATTCAGAGCAGTCTCATTCATGAGACCAGGCAGTTTTAAAGCTGAAGGGCTGCAAACAAGTCGACAGACTATTTTCTGGTTAGCAGCGTTTTCTACAGCGGTAGGAAAGCCTGAGTCAGAGCAGCACGCTGCCGTGCCTGCACCTGAGCTGGGCAGAAGCAGAGCTTAGTCTGTACTTAGAAAATCTTCGATTTAAACACTTCCAAGGAAAATGAGAAAGGACTGGGAAGCGTACAAAATGCGACAAGAAACCTTGAGATCAAGTCCGGCAGGAGGACCACCAGCTACCCTCTGATCACAGACGACTTCCAAGGAAAGAATTTAAAAAAAAAAAAAAAAAAAAAAGGCAAGGAAAAAAAAAAAAAAAAGAGTTGCAACTTCGGAAATTTCCCGCACCTGGGCTAAGGGCTCTTGAGCTCTTTCTTCCCCACCGCTGCCCCCGAGCCCGGCAGGGACCCGCTGCCGAAATACAAGCCCAGGTATCAAGCTCGCGGCAACTTCGCTGGATTAGAAGAAGGAACTTTCCCAGCGCTCGGGAGGGCTGCGGGCGCCGGCCGTGCCCGCGGTACCCAGCCCCGGGAGCTGGCACCGCTCCCGCTCGTAACGGGGACCCCACGGACGGGCCAGACCCCGCAACTAATTAACTCCTCGCAGCGAAGCGCTATGTAGGAGCCTGTGCCTTCAAGCCGATCACCGCGGGGCACACCCCTCCACCAAAAAACCTGTCCCCGTTCACTTGTCGCCGCCCTGGGGCTCGCCCCATCCCTGTTCCAGCCTAGCGCGGTGCTGCCGGCACCGAAGTTTGCAGCGGCCGCGCAGCGCGGAGGGGCAGGGAGGCGCGCAAAGAGCCGTGGGGTAAAAACTTCCCGGGGAGAAGCCGACAGCGGCGGAAAGTTCAGCGGGCATCGCGCAATGGTGAGCCCCGGCGCCCTGCTGCGCGCCTCACCACGGACGCGCCTTACCTCCGCGGGCTCCCGCTGCAAGCGCCTCGGCGACGGGCGGTAATCCCCAGAGCATCGCCAGGGCCAAGAGGAGAGCGGACATCGCGGCGACCGCGGGGGGGGCAAGAGCAAACCTGCCCACCCTCCGACCGGCCGCGAGCGCGGAGCCTCTGCGGGAGCCGCCGCTGCGCCGTCACTTTTCAACACGGAGTGCGGCTGGGCTCGCCTCTCGCAGCGAGCGGGCAGCGCGGGGCGCCGGCGGCCCGCATCGCCGCTCTCCGCCCCGCACCGCCCCGAGCCCCACCCCTCCCGCCGCCGGCCCGCCCCCCGTACCGCGGCCGCGGAGCGCCAGGCGCGAAGCCGGTGTGCGCGCGCGGGAGCGGGGGCCGCGTGCTGGTCCCTTTTGTCCCGAGTCGCTGGGGTTCTTTTTTAGCAGTTTTTGAGGTAATTTTTCTAAATTCCCAAAGACAAACGGCCGCGAGGCGCGGGTGGCACGGCGGTGAGTCAGCAGAAATTGGAATAGCTTTAAAAAGCACCACCACAAACCCTCGTGCTTCATTAAACTGCTGGGATTAAAGTGCCGTGAGACTGCTACAGATGTCTGTAAACACAAAGTTGGCATCCAAAGCAGCTCAGGAACGCTTGGCTTCAGTTAACGGTGCTTCCTGAGGTACTTCTCCGCAGGCCACGAGCTCACACCTCATGCTTGGTACCTGCTTCGTGTGTAAGTTTAATTTTATGTAGGAGTATTACCTTGTATGTGCCACAGAACACAGGAAGGGTTTGCTTATCACATTTTCACGTACATGGGCTTTTTTAAAACTAGGCCTTTTAACAGATGAAAGGTAATAAAGCTTTTACATCATCCTCAGATACGAGTTTCCTCCAAAGACAGCAAGGTGCTAAAATCAGCTGCTGAGACCTTTACTTTTCAAGGGTAAAGCCTCAGTCCTTCTAACTTCATGTTTATATTCCCCAACACAAAACCTAAATACCTTTTATATGAAGCAGTACAGCCAAGAGGCTTCAGGGGCAGAAAGACCAGGCAGTGCTGAAGGGCAGAGTAACACACAACCTAGGAGAAATATGAAATATTTAACTATTTCTGCTGAAAAGGGGAAGGACCCCAGGATACACTTTCCCAAGAACGCAATTGTCCATTCCTGGTCCCAGGGCCTGGCAGAACTCAGGGGGTTGCTGTTAACTTTATTACTGTATACAGTTTACAGCTGAGGATTAAAATCCAGTTGGATCCAATTCTACATTTATCTACTTTCTTTAAAGGCTATGTAATTCCCCTACACTAAATAAGTATTTACGCAGCTGTAACTGAGCAGAATTACAGATCCCAGTGTAGAAAACTTTTGCTGATACAGAAATGAGCAGGTCTGAACTCAGATGAAAAAATCTGGCAGTGACCATGGTCTTGGAAATCGGTTCCTTTCATAACCAAAATGAGGTCATGCACGTGCATATACCGATGAGATCGCTTTGCTTCCTTCTGTAAACCACCAGAGCCACCTATATGGCTCTTATGTATTAATTACAATTTTATTTTAGCAACCTTTTACATTTCAGGTATGAAAGTATGTAGATATTAGAGCCAAATGAGATCATGTGGGAAGGAAAAATGGGGAATACCAAGTTGTGAGGAACTCCAGCTCAAATCAGTGATATTTCCCACATGCCAGTACTGTCACATGGTATAAAGAAACACATATTTGCAAGTGAACGTGCTGTCCTTGTATTCCTGGGATATGGAACTGTCTTTACAGAATAGCCTTCTTTCATCTTGACTTCTTGCATCTCCTACAGAAGCTGCAAGGTCTGCAAGGTTACGGGTGGTTATGCTTTTCCCCCAAACATTATCACTTAATTGGCATGCTGCCCTTTTCCACCTTTTCACAAAAGCACCTCAACTTCTTTTCAACCATCTGATGCTTTATTTCTAATTTGCTCCCTTTTCTCATTCCATACTTATTTAACAACAGTTTTTCTATTCTTCTTGAATAATTGCCTTTAATGATACAATGCAATTTACTGCCCATTTTAAACATTAACATTTATGAGAGTCTTTGAAGAATTAATTGATCTTTCTTTCAATACTGCATATCACATACGCACATACACTTATTAAAATATTGAAATAATATTCATAATAAAAGTCAATGGCCTCCTTGTTTACGGGACAGAAAGTGTCAATACAGAGTATACAGCCAGAATTATGAATAAAAATGCAATTACCTGTAAGTATTCATTTGTCAAATTGCTGCCTAAAAATGTAGCTTGCTTTAAGATAGTGCTATGAGGCAATAATTATCCTAGAAGCCTGGTTTTAAAATACAAGCTGTTGAACAAATAAAAGTTGACCTTTGATAAATCACTCTCGGCTGCATTTCCGTTAAACATCACTCACTATCAAGTGGTGGGATGGTAGGACATCTCTATATGATGGGATGGAATGACTTCAGCAGTACAATAAAAATACATAAGAGTAACTGGCATTCTCATATTACCCTTACACCTCAAAATAAAATAAAGCAGCACGGAGATCTGTATGAAAGATTTAACATGTATCTTCTATGAATAAACCTAAAAACATTCGCTAAAGGGACCAGAGAGAAAATTTAAGCCACTATGTATGCGTATAATTCAAACACTTAAAGAAATCACCTGCTGTATAACATGCTTTTCCTGTACCTCAGACCTGAGAAAACATACAAAAAATGGAGATTTTAGCTGTATACAGTTTCTGTGATTCCAGCCTCCCTGCTGTTGTTTGTCTGCACACAACTTCATTTAGATTTCTGCATGATAGGTGAACACAGAGACTAATGCAGGACTAGTGGCTGATACACAGATTGGGAACCAGACCAGTTTTCAAATATTTATTGAAGTCTCCAGCCACTTCCATTTGAAAAAAAAATTAACCAGAAACACCGGGGAGTTGAACTGAGAACAAATACAGAGGAGAGAGACAGAGGGGAATTGAGCATGTAGAAATGTCTTTTCCTTGCTACAGCCAAAAAAGTTAATTATATAGGAGACTAGAGTGAAGAACATGCTGGACAGAAAAATCAAAGTTAAAACTGATGTTAGAGATCTGTTGCTCCTACAGTGCTTTATAACTTCTTCCTCCTAATCAGAGTTATTAACACTGACAGGTTAAATAAATGAATTCATCAAGCTATAGAATATTATGAAATCTCTTATTGAGATAAATTAAACAAAGTAGAACCAATCATTTGTACTTGCTGATGTAGCACAACACAGGAATGTTAATTATCAGCCAAAGATAATTCTGACTTTAGTCACTATGAAACTACTTCCATTGCCTCACTGAAAACTGAGTTATGCCATTACTTATTTACTGTATATCAGCCATGCCCTTTGAGAAGGTGAATGGGCAGGTAGGGACGATGGCATCAACGATTCTGATGCTGCAGATGTGGTGTGGTAGGTATGGATGTTGTTGGCGATGTGGGCAGTCGTTTGGAGAACATCGCAGGCGCCTAGCCGAGTTGCTAGGGGATGGTGCTGGCAGCCTGTCTGAAGGCAGTCAGGGTGCCCTGCCCTGTCCAATCAGACATAGAAAAGTTGCCAGGCAGCAGCTGACACAGGAGCAGAAAGAATAAAGTATTCGAGAGGAGCGAGAAGGGAAGAAAGACCAAAGATTAAAAAAAAAAGAACCCATCCTACCAGAATTCAGAGTTTTGCATTACAAGCTGTCCCTACTGGAGAAAACATCCCTAAAGGAATTTTTCATTACTGCAGTGCAACAGTGGCTTCATTATTAAAGACTTTCTGAATGTACATCTTCAACAGCTGCTGGAAAAATTCTTCATGTGTGAGCTGTAACGTGTATATTTGCATACCAAGTGCCATGGGTGGAAATTGTTGCCTGGCATTTGAGATGTTCTGGCATGGTTTTAATATATAAATTGGAAGGAATTAGAAAACACATGAAAATGAATCTATGGGAAGACCTGCCACACAAGTGCAGCAATAAATGGAATAAGAAAAACCCAAAGTCTTAAACCTGGAAAGCGTCATCTTGATTTGTTCCTAATCTCCATCTTCCGACTATTGTAAAGAAATTCCATTATATCATTTTGCTTTCAAATGCTTGAGAGATGGTAGTGGGCCATATGCCAGATCAAGTGAAATGCAGCGAACTGATGCGAGTCTGTTAAAGACAAGGCAGCCGAACACCGGCTTCTGGTACCCAGACATCTGCCTGGGAGAAGTGACATTTCACAGTTAACTGGATATGCTTTAGCAAAGACATAAATGAGAGATCTTAATGCTGATTGCAAGGTTTGTTTCTCATAAAAATAGGTTCATAAAAGTTATTAGAACAGAAAAGATCCCATCACCTTTTGAAGTCTGTTTAAAGGACAATTTTGAGGAAAAAGTTAAAAAAAAAATTCCTTTCAAAAGAAACTTTCAAATCATTTTATTACCCAATAAATTAAGTTGCTTATATAAAACAGGCCAACTTCCTTACCTGGCATCCTTGTGTACTCAGAGGTGTTGCACCAGTGTTCAGCAACAGATTAAATTTATTTCCAGTAAGTGAAGTGGAAATTCTTTGTCCAAAAAAAATAATGTTTATGGCCGATGCTAAGAAAAAGTAGAAAAAAGAGAGAAAAATATCTGTTTAAATCTATTTCAACCTCCCATGGTAAAGTTTGTCTCCAAACCATGTAACATATTAACCAGTTTGAAGTACTTGTTCATCCATAAATATGATCTGTAGCTGCAGGTACCATAAAAAAAATTACCTTTGTTTAATAAAAAGTGATTTTCCAAGACAGTGGACACCTTGAGTTCATCGTACAGATACCTGTGAGCGCATCCTTAAAGGTAAATACAAATTTGTTCTACATCATTAGTCCTGAAGGTCCAATTACTGAAATGATTGGGATTTGGACACCTGAGTACCTCTACAGTACTACCAAGGGCTAGCAGAAGTAACCCATCCTACCAGTAATAACTTTTTGTTAATTCCGTAGATTATAACATTCACGCATTTTAGATCCCAATGCAACTAATTTATGAAATTTTCAATTTCATTATGCCAGTATTGTGAAGTAAAGCATACAGATTCATCTATCTCTTTTTTTTTTGTTGTTTTTTTTTTCCTTCTAAATATGGCACCAGGATAAACCTAGTGAGATCTGTCTCAACATTATAGATGCTTTTCCCAAGGGAAGTGCTTCCTTTCCATCCCAAAGATGCCTCCACATTGCTTGATCCATCAGTGTTATAAACAGACAAAATTTACC